CTAGCGTATCTAGAATGTCTAGTGACTGGAACGTTCTAGAGTATGCTGGAATCGGACCATCGGGAAGAATCTAGAAACGACGCTTGCGAAGAGTATATAAGCGCACGTCGCAAGATATTTGTGATTGGTGATATTCGTGATTGGTGATATTCGTGATTGGTGATATTCGTGATTGGGATATTCGTGATTAGTGATATTCGTGATTAGTGATATTCGTGATTAGTGAAATTCGTGATTTTGTGAATAGCGATTCGGTGAATTATTTAAAGCGATATTTGAATTGTTTGTTGACGTTGTCATAGCGATAGATTTTGAAAGATTTAAAAGTTAATTGTTGCGTTAGTGCGAATTTACTGGAAATAAACGATTAGTTGATTTCTTCTGTAAATAAAGTTTAATAACTAATAATAGTTGATTTCTTCTGTAAATAAAGTTTAATAACTGTTTGGAGTATTTTATTCAATCGAAGATTTGAACCCGTCGCATCGTAAACCGGTTACGACAGCGAGTATTATAACAATATTTTTTTTTACCGATTTAACAGATGTTTTGGATGTGAATGAGACTGCAAAGAGCAAGTACTAATACCACTACTACTACCACTACTGATATTACAACTACTACCACTACTAGCACTACTATTACCATTACTATTACTACAACCACTACTTCTACTACTAATACTTTTTGCGTACTAATTCACCAGATGCTTCATTAGTTTTATCCAGAGATGCGTTTCAAACATTTAGATAAAAAAGCCTGTATGAAAAGAGAGTGTTAAAGTGTTTACCCATCTATCCATTCACAATCGTCGTCTATGGTTCACATTTTGCTACCCAACTCCATATCACAATCGGCCACTATCATTTTTACCCTCCTACATTTAGGCTTGTGCACAGCTCTGAAAAGTTACCATATAGTAGTTGCTAACATTTTAAAACATGCTATGTAAATTATTTGTATCGCAAATAGTTTTTTAAAAATTCAAATAAGCTACAGCCAATGGCAATGATACTATGTAAGAGCGTATTTAAATTCGTGAATAAAATAAAACAGCACAGTAGAGAAGCAAATTTCTGAACGCCAGTAAAATTTTGTTATAACCTTTTTTTTTGTAAAAATGTGCTTACAAAATGTTTCTTAGCTTAAGACCGTAATTGAAAAGTGCAAACCGAAACCGAATGCCCCGCAAATTTTTGCTCCGCCCCTCTTGCCCCAAAATGTCCCAAAGTGTCCCAAATTGTTTTTACCGCCCCCCGTCCCCCTATAAAGCGTGACACCCAATTTAGGGCCAGTACCTTAAATAAAACTGTTTTGAATTTTGTTGTATTTTTCAATAACAATTATCATTTGAAATTTGTAATATAAAATAAAAAAATTAAATTTGTGAATTTAACAGACAAGGATGATGAAGATCTACACCGGATGGTTCCTGTTCATTGCAACCCAACTCGGGGTCTCCGTTAAAGGTTTTTTAAAGAAATTTTTTGTAATATCTTTTTAAAACAGTGGAGCTTAAGTTTTAAAATTTTTTGGGTTGTTTTATGCTCAAAATATGATGTGACATTCAATCAAATCAACATTGGCTGCTGGTCGAATATTGTTCTGGTAGGCAGCCAAAACATTTATTTTTAAATATCACAACGGTTGTAAATTATACATCGACTCCACCTTTTTATAGTATAGTAGACAGTTGAAAAATTATTATTTTGTACGCTTTTCATTTGCCGAAATTGGTTATAAACAGTTCATCCAATGTACGAACTAGAACTGTCAAATTATCAAGTCGTTCATAAAAGAACATATAATGGTCATCACGCTGGCTTGGCCATTGACAAGAATACTGCAACTTATTCCATCGCATGTGGAAATTGTAACGACGTCTATGACGAAGGACCTGCTTGGTGGATAATTGATCTGCAGAAGAGTGAGCCCATCTCGAAAGTTGTCCTCATCAGCAGTCAAGACCTCTTCAGTAAGTTTTCTATTAAAGTTTCTTCGATTCTTAAACATTAAGTCATGTCATATTTGCCGGTCAAAAAAGTGAACATGCCCTAATTTACTACACGACAACACAGTTTCAAAGTTTCTGCAAGAGATTAGAATAATTGTGAGTGAACTAACAAGAGTTTTAGAAAAAACGGGCAATTGTGTTATTATTTCAACGATAACACATTGTTAAAAGCGGGATCATTGTTAACTTTTGACTGCTACACACAGCCGACATGGGGAAGGCTGTGTGTAGCAGTCAACCAGAGCAGAAAATGCCATTATGAAACCTGATGCCATAGCCATTGGGGAAATAAACATTTTTACATCATATATAGGTGAGTGTTTTTATTAGTGTTTTAAATGATTTGATCAGTTAGACAAATAAAAAAATTTTGTAAAACTATGTGAATTTAAAATATACATCGACTCATGTAAAGTTTAGTAGACAGTTAAATTACTTTCGTTTACGTAATTTCATTTGCCAAATTTGTTTTTGAACAGTTCACCCTGTGAACAAACTAGAACTGTCGAGTTATCTCGTCGTTCAGAAAGAAACATAAGGAAATCACGCTGATTTGGCCATTGACAACAATACTGTAACTTATTCCGTCGCGTGTGGAAATTGTAACGGGGCCGTTGACGACGGTCCTGGTTGGTGGATGATTGATCTGCAAAAGAGTGTGCCCATCTCGAAGGTTGTCTTCACCAGCAGTCAAGACTCCGCCTGTACGTTTTCTATTAGAGTTTCTCCGATTCTTAAACATTAAGTCATGTCATATTTGCCGGTCAAAAAATTGAATACGACAACACTCACGACAACATTCACGATAACACAGACTCAAAGTTATTGCAAGAGATTAAAATAATTGTGAGTGAGATTAACAAGAGTTTTGGACAAGACGGGCAATTGTGTTATTATTTCAACAATAACACATTGTTAAAAACGGGATCAGTGTTAACTTTCGACTGCTACACCCAGCCGACATGGGGTAGGTACTTGTATGTCGTCAGGGCAGTAAAAATACTGTAACTTATTCCGTCGCATGTGGAAATTGTAACGGGGCCGTTGACGACGGTCCTGGTTGGTGGGTGATTGATCTGCAGAAGAGTGAGTCCATCTCGAGGGTTGTTCTCACCAGCAGTCACGTTCCCAGCTGTACGTTTTTTATTAGAGTTTCTTCGATTCTTAAACATTTAGTAATGTCATGTTCTTAATAATTCTACTTCTAACTCCTCTACTCTTACTTTCGGGTCAGGATTCTATCCATGGCCCTCTTCTATTTATACTCTATACTTCTAAACTACCTCGTATTATTAATAACTTTTCATTCACCAGTAAACTATATGCTGAAGATTTTTATATTTATACTGTTTTTCCTCCATCTAATTTTAATAATCTTCATAATCTACTTTTATGTCTTTCTTCAGTTATCGTTTTGTCTGACTCTATGTGTCTTAAACTTAATTCTTTTAAATTTGAATTATTTTGTTTCACTAAATCTTAACACTCCTTTACAATTCCTCCTATTATCTTACCTGATTCTATAACTCTTGATGTTTCTCACAAGTTTCGTAGTCTAGGCTTTATCTTTGACTTTAGCATGTCTCTCTTTTCTCAGATTAATAGTGTTGCTAGAAGTTCTTACTTTCATCTACGTAGAATAAAAAAACTTCTTGATGATCCTACTCTTATCTTTCTTGTTACTTCGTTAATCTTATCTAAGATTGATTATTGTAACTTGCTCTACTATGGTCTTCCTGATTCTATACTCTATCCTTTAATGATAATGTTGACTTATAAAGCGCTCTGTCAAGTGATTGAGACGCCCTCGAAACAAAAAACATCCTCTGTCAGACGTTTAAAACGCTCTATCAAAATAAAAATTTTTTAATGACGACTTGAACGACTGTGTAGAGCTGCAGTTTTTAATCTTTGGCGGAAGCAAATTCTAAACGTGAGGAGCTGCATGTTGGAATGCACGACCAGCAATATTGTTTGCTGCATTATGCTGATGAAAACGTAGAGCGATGGCAGAGCGAAGTTGACGATTGTTTGTATTACTATGTAGAAGATTACCGAGATACGAAGGTGAATGCGAGATTGAAAATTTGAAGACGATGACAGCTATTTTAAATAAAACTCGAAAATGAAATGGAAGCCAATGGAGGTTCATTAGGTTCGACGAGGTCGAATCTAATGAACCTCCATTGAACCTAATGAATTTAAGTAAAGCTTTTAACTCTGCCGCTCGTCTAGTTGCTCGTGCCCCATTCTTTTTTCATATATCTCCATATCTCGTTCTTTTGCACTGGCTATCTATAAAATATAGAATAATTTTTAAAATTTGAACATTTATGTACAAGTCTCAACTTAAATTATTTCCAAACTACTTATCAGATATATTAATTGAACCAAAACTCCTCGGTTTACGATCATCTTCTTGCCACCTTCAGACCTGATGCCATAGCCATCGCTGAAATTAACATTTTTACTTCAATTATAGCTCTTTAAACGTGTTTTTAATAGCCGTTAAATATTTTGGATTTATTCTCCAAACATTTGACATTATGGTTTAATTTGGAAGTTTAAAAAAAAAATTCTTTTCAAGTTTGAAAATTTTATTTTTTGGTGTTGGATATTTAAGAAATAGAAGTTTGAATTCAAACTTAAAAATTTAGTTGGGGTATTCTATTTTATTTAGCTATTCTTTTGAAACGTAGTTACATTAGCCACATTCGATTACAATAATTACCGCAAACTCTTTCAAAGTTATTTAAATAAATATAAATAAATAAGTAAAATATGAGCTATATAAGTGATGTATATATTTTTAAAACTCATGACAAAACCAAAACTGTTCGACTATAGCCGAATGAATAGTCAGCAATTCAGCGTTGACTATTGAACGATGACTCTAACGTCATCGTCTTGTGACTTGCTTGGCTTAACAGTTTCATGCGTACAGACGACATGGTCTACGAGGTCGATAATTGTGTGCACATCATCTTTGGAGCACTCTGAATAAGGAAGGGAGTCCAAGTAGTAAATTGTTCCATTGTTCTCGAACATTCCGTTCTAAATTATGGTGGTCAGTAAGATGATTGTTGCATTTTTTTAATTCTATAAATTCAGATTCTGACAGATGCAGAAACTAGTTCAGCATAAAAATTGACATTTGAAAATATAGGAAAATAAAAAAACAATTAGTAACATAATAAAAATGAGGTGATGATGATAACTCAATTGTTTTATTCTTATTAGAAGTTTAAGATTTTTTAACGGTCATCTTAGAGATGAAGATGTCAAAGCTCTATTTTAGTAATTTTATTATTCATGGTATTGATGTCTATAGAAATGACTGTACAGCTAGACGGTGTAACGGTTAAGATGCCTGGTTCTGTTGTGAAAGTAGCCATGTATGAATGCAAAGAGATCCTCGCCTATCACGTGCTATATGTGAAATGCGTTGAAATTTTTGAGAATTAATTAAGAAAGAGAGAGTGAGAGAAAGAAAGAGAATTAATTAAAGATAATGGGGTTGATTGTTTCAGAAATCAATGAAATATCCTAACAAGACTAAAATTAATTCCAATTCAATTAACTATTTTAAAAATTGCGTTTAGAATTATTCATATTTCGATATGATCTGAAAGTAAATTATTGGTGAAAAAAAAGCAGAAATAAATTTTGTTTTCTTTTCATTTTTTAAAAACAAGTAGTAGCAAAAATATTATGTAATCTCTATTTTTAGTTCTTTCTGAAGATAAAATTTAGCGGTTACCCATCTCAAAGCTTCCGATGTTTTGTTAGGTAAGATGAGTCGAAAGATGTTGACACTATTCAAGCTGTCATACAGGCATTGATCTCTCTGTCAAAATAATGTCAAAAAATGTTCAAATTTGCTAAATTAGAAAATTTCCAAATTGGAAAATTTGCTAAAATGAAAGCATCTTCCCTAATAAAATAAAATCATTAATTATAATTAGTAGTTAAACAATTAGCTGATAGTATAATATTAAAAACGTTAAAAAATAATTAAATAAATAATTTCGTGAAAATAATATTTTTATTTTATCCATTAATTTTTTCTAACTTTATTACGAAAATGTTAAAAAAATAAATAGAAAATTAAAAAAAACTGTATCTGGAAAATATAACCTCCTCTGAAAGAATTCGATATACGTTAAATGGGACTTTAGTTCCTCTGTCGTCAATTGTCAAAGTTTGAAAAAACCTGTCTGGACATCTCACTAAATTGTTTTAAAAAGTGTTTTAAAATAAATTCTATTTAAATTAATTTTTCTTATTCAAAATATCAAAATAATTTTCTCATAAAAAATCTGTAAATGATAAATGTGAAGTCTATTAATTACAACCATTTCTACTTCCAACACAGAGAACCAACTGAAACATGAAATATATCTGTTTAAAACAAATCGAACTCATCTCAATTTATGAGAGAAAATTATTTTAAATCTTTTTAAATTATTTTAAATTTATATTATTTTAATGAAACAAGTTGAAATTCATTAAAAAAAAAGTTAGAATAAAATATTTTTAATGGATTAATTTAAGCAACGTAATAAACTAGAGGTGTGGTTCGTACTAAATCAGCGAATCTTCATGTAGGTTGTTATATTTCATTAATTATATCATATTATATTTATAATATCATGTTTTATTATGCAAAATTAACATGTTCATTTAGGGACACAGATGTTTTTGTATTGATTGTGCTGCACAATTTGTGCACTATTGTAAGTATGTTTCAAATCGATTGTTGTTAAAATGTTATCATAAATTCTGCATTGTGTTTTCAATAAAAAATAAATGATCAATAAATTTCAATTTTCAAGAGCTCAGAATTTAATATTCAAATTATATCAGAAAAAACTTACGATGATGAATGATGCACTTATAATCTTATGATGAAATATCAGGATCATGTGTTTGTTGTTGCCAATTGTAACAAGAAATAAGAGATAACTTAATTGCTAAAACGTCAATTCATATGTTGAACTGACCGGTTCTCGACGAAAATGGAGGCCATGTGTTTAGGTACATTATATGAAACATGTTTATCAATTTTTCACGTCGGCATTGTGATTAAAAGTTTAAAAGTTTGATAACGGTGGTGTGACGGTAAAATTTAGTGTGGAAGAAATTACTACAGAATTAACATACTCACTACTTGTCATAACACTGTTAAAATTCCATGCCGGCTTTCATTCAACTACTTTTTTATTCTTATTTTGTTCAAAATTATGGAAAAAATAATTTATTTCATTACATAAAAGCACAGCAAAAACATGTCCAATCCTACAATCTCTTAATTCATTGAAAATAAATGACATCATGGACATCTTGTTCTGGATGTGAAATCGCTGTAACTTTTAACGCATCAGCATTCCTCAAAATCCTGAATGAACATTCATTCAATTGGGTGAAATTAAAAATACAGACACTGTTTCAAAATATTCGATATAAATAATTTTAACATAGGATGACAGTTATTTTTTGCTATTAAAAAAATGATCAATGATTTTATAGAAATGTTATTATCAAAATAGTGCAACCAAGGGCAAGTATCCCAGTATTGAAATTTGAAGTACAGATGTCCAATCTCATTTTCATTTAAAACTCAACTCCAGGGCATTCAACAAACTGTAGATTGTTAACTTTTAACAAGAATGAAGTTCAACAAAATAATAAAATCAAAATTATGTTAAACGGAATAACTTCTAAAAATGCTATCAGTTAGTACTATTACTGATACAACTACTATTACTAATTTTATAGAAATATTAATAAATAAACGAATAAACGAATTACAATACTACTACTATTGCTACTACTACTACTACTACTACTACTATTACAACAACAACTACTACTACTACTACTATTAATACTACTCTACTACTACTGCTTAAACTACTACATCTACTTCAACTTTTGTTACTATTATTATTATTTTCCTTATTATAATTAATACTATTACTAAATATGATGATGGTGAAAAAGCTTGGAGGAAACAAAACGAGAGCCTAGCAAACTAAGAATTAAAAAAATTTTCTAACCATTCGTTTCCTATGTCACAAACGCACCATAAATGATTATTTGAACACAACGTCAGAGGTATTTTATTTTTAACTAACAATAAACAAACAGCCTTTGTTAAGTTTTGTTTTTGAACATCCACATTTTTAAAATTGAAAATAAAAAATTTTCATAAATGTGAACCTTGTAAATCGTGATGCTCACATTTCAAAAAAGAAACCAGTTTTTTTCAGTTTTCATCTTTGTGGTATACATTCCGTCATCTCAACAATGTAAGTGGGAGTGATAACATGGAGTTTTATGGGGTTTAGGCAGAGGAATACATCCTCCTCCCGTTCATAAAATACGATAAAATATTAAATAAATTTTTTTAAAAAACTTTTAATATTATGGCATCTGAGATTTTTTCCTTGCAAACCCACCAAGTCATTCAATGGCCACAAAAATGGGATTTAGTTGAGGATCGGTGGAGTTATTGTTCTAGAGCCACTAGAATTGGTCCCAACAATATAAACAGTTTCCAAGACATTACGGATTTGTTGAAAAACAGAAAAGCTGACTCTATGGAAAATATTGCCTTTTTTATTTTGCAAATAAATTTTGGATTACAACTCTCTGTGTCTCAAGGACATCAAAAATTTTTCCTGCATTTCTCCACAACATTTGCACAAACTTAGTAATATAGATTGCTTAGTTAACACGGTAATTAAGTTTTGGGATGAATTGCTTTAAATAACTGCGAAAATGATAACATCCTTTTTTGACGTACAAATATTTCCCCAGCTTTTGTTGAAATATTTATCTTTGTTGACAATAAATATTTAATGGACTCGATGGGTGATATTGGTTTTTTCTTACTAGAAATAGTTAGGGGTCTTTGCTTTTTGGCTGCTGGCAAATCAAGCCTCCTATCTCCCTATGAAAAAAATCATGAAAAGTTTTGAACGTTCAAAATGTTTCTTCTTCACAACACTGATAACTAATATGATACATCAACAGAAGCGTCCATGATAAATAAATTTATCAAATGTAAATAACTGAGCGCGCAAATCACATAATTGCAAATGAACGTTTGAGGAATAGACACTCACTCGTGTACAAACGCACACAAACAAAATAACCAAACAAACTCACGCACAAACAAAAACCGTGCAAACAAACAAAAGACATCACGAATATGCAAACATTCAGGGAAACACATATACAAGCATCACATACACGCCGACAAACACAAATACAAACAAACCAACGATCTCACAAACTCATTTAAACAAAGAAATCCCCACGTGCACACAAACGTCTAAAATTGCCAACACTCACACACACACACACACACACAAACACACAAACAGCATCGATAAAAACTCACAGCATTCAAGATAGCCTGCTTAGAGACATGCACCCTGTATGTAGATGGGGTGGAAAAACCTGTCAGCCAGACGGACATAACAAAAGCAGTTGAATTTAATTTTACAACAGATATAAAGGTTTGTAAATAGATAGGAAATAGAAATAAATAGATTTTATAAAATAAATTTTAAATATAATTATCTTAGTTTTATTTTCTTATCCATAATAAGATTTTCGTTATTTATTTTCGAAATTCTTAACAAAAGTTAAAATCTTTGATGAATGTGACACAAAAAAGTTTCTGGCAGTGCGTATAATGTCGAAGAAAGGTATCGGGGGAGTGATGATATCGTCGAGCAACCCCAGCCACAATACCGACACCTTGGGCTGGAGGTCTGTTGATCTGTTGCTGCTGTTTTTAACGATAGCCTGAGCTAGCAATAATGTGAAATATTATTATTAATTCTAAATATTATGGAGGAATAAAATATTATTCGTTTGATTGTTAAACTAAATTGAAACTCATTCACTTTCTCTTTCCCTCTCTCTCTCTCTCTCCCCTTTCTCAAGTATTTGTTCATATCTCATTAAAATTATTTGGTATGATTAGTATAATTATGTTTATCTGTTATGTTAATTATCTTTTAGTATCAACAAAACACAACAAAAAATTCACTCGACAACTTTTTTTTTCACTGCCAATCATCGAAAAAGGTGCACCTCAAAGGCTCCAACCGATGCGAGCTGGGCGAATAACGTGAACGCTGTGACTGGCTGGCCCGAGGCTCAAATGCCAGGCCTCAATGGCGACTGCAAGTTTCCTGGACCCGGTAATATAATAAAATATTAATAATCTTCATTATTATTATATTCAATATTATTTTGTTGTTGTTGTTGTGTTGCTGCTGCTGTTGTATATATTATTATGAATTTATGAATTATTATCCTATTTAAAAAAAAGTCAATTACTTATTTAGCCAAGTAACGAATGACGTAAATTAAAATTAGACCTGTCGATCAGTCACTGCGTCACGAATATGGACGATATGGCCATGTGGATATGGACGTCAGACGTCAGGCAGGCTACTGGCCACGAAAACGTCTGCTGCGGCGCAGATAGTAAGTAGTGTGTTTTGTTGTTGTGTGGGGACTTGGTTCAACTGCAAGAACAACCTTAAATTACAATCAACAATGTAGAATATATACTTGCATTTTAAATACAAGCCCATATTGCATTAAAGGACGTACAAAAACTGTAATATAACTCGTTCATGCACATTTTTATAACCTGGTATATTTTGCTTGATAAAATAAAAAACTTTTGATACACAAGTTACAAAATTAAATACATAACTTTGATAAAAATTTTTGAACAAATTTTATTTGAGAGAAAATAAATATAAAAAAGCAAAAAGCAAAACATTTTTTGTTCAGATTGTAGCTTATAAAGACAGACTCAACCTCATTCCACCTCTAAATATTTTTACAGAAATGTAGCAACCGATTTTGAAAAATGATTATTTTCACAAACATCCGATCAGTCACGTCAAAGACACAAAGAACGATGAAAAGGATATTGCCAAAAGGAGGTGGGCCTTATGGTAGAGACGGTGAAAGTTCCGGCTCCACAATCGCTATCGTCATTACCGTCGTCTTACTCGTCATCATCGCCATTTCAGTTCTTCTCATATATTTCCTGGTTATTCGAAAAAGAGGTTATGGATTACTTTGGAATGTTCATACTTTTATATTAGTGTTTTTGGTTTTTTTTGCCAGAATTTTTGTTTTGTTTGTTTGTGCTAAAGTGTGATAACTATTGCAGTCTTTATGTTTTGAAATTTTTTTTTCTTAATTTATATTTTGTTTGTTTTATTCAAAAATTATGAATACATTAGCACATGCATGTTTTATTCATTAGTTATTTATAGAGTAATATTTTTTAATGATAATAAATAATTATTTCTGTCTTCCACTTCTGCTAAGTTGTAACATAATATTTGATGATTGTTAGTCGTACGTGCTTTTGTGTGTGTGTCTCGATGTGCTTATACATGTGTGTGTGTGTTTGTGTATGTGTGTGTGAGAGTATCTGTGTGCTATATGTTGTGTGTGGTGTATGTGGGTGTGAGTATGTGTGTGTATATAATTTAGTTTGTAGTAATTTTCTAAAAAATTTTGGATAATTTTTTTTTCAAAAGCTTTTTAATCACACTCAGGAACAGCTGGATCAGTAACAAATTGTAAATATGGATTAGTTTATTTATGAATGAATTATGAATAAAATATAAACAAATAATGAATAAATTATGAATAATTGTAAATAATATATGAAAAAATAAAAAGTAATAAAATAATTGATAAGTAATTATAGCAATAATAATAATAATAATAATCAATCAATCTTCGTTTAGCATCCAGAGACCCAGTTTCCGGAGGTAGGACGTTGTTTTCTTTGACATCAATTTTTTTGCGCCAAATCAGACGATCAGTTGTATCCATTTCATTTAAATTTAGAGCTTTCATGTCTTGCTCGATTGTTTGCGACCAGGACTTCTTTGGACGGCCTTTGCGAACGTATGACAGGTACTTCAACATCTGCAAGAGAAGTTATGGCACTATTACGTTTGACATGACTAAACCACCGCAGACGGTGTTGCCGGCATTCGTCCTTTATATCATCTAAACCAGCACGACGCAGGATTTCGGTAAATTTGATGTGGTCCTTCAGACAAATTCGTTGCATCCATCGGGGCGTTTTCATGTCGGTTCGTTGAAGTTGTTGTTCCAGTTTGGTTGTCATTGGCCATGTTTCTGCACCATATAACAAGACCGGACGTATCACAGATTTATAAAGTCTTGATCGTAGTGGTAGCGGGATGTCACGCCGCATCAATATAGAGGCAAGGAGATGCCATTTATTCCAGGCTGCACGTATGCGTGCTCGAACGGCAGCTTCAGCTGTTCCAGTACAATCCAGAACATCCCCTAGATATTGAAACGATGTGACTTTCTCTACCTTAATGGCTTCAAAAACAGTGCTGTTTTGAATTTGTTGTTGTGGACTGATGCAAGCAGGACAAACAAAGTTGGACACTTTAGATAAATTACCAACTATTTTTGAACAACGTTTGTGACACCACTGGTTACACTGCTGACACTTGATTGAATTTTTACCTACACCAACTTTACAATCTGAACAGGGCCATTGTCCAGTAGCTGTGGATTGGATGTGTTCACCAGTGTTCATTGCTCTGGTTTTGCTGATGTTGACTTTGAATCCATGATCGGCTGGTCTGGTGTTCTAATCTTCAAACATCTGTGCTGCCTTCTGCTCAGACGCGGCTGTTAAAACGATATCATCAGTATATACTAGAATCCAATTGTCACCAGTGCGTATTGGTTTTGTGATTTTTTCTATCACAGTTATAAATAACAGTGGATTGAGAATCGAGCCTTGGTGAACTCCAACGCCGATGTCAAATGCATCTGTGTTTCCAACCGTTGTGCTGACGAGAGTCTTAGTATTTGTATACATTTCCATCACAAGTCGAACAAGATATTCTTGAATGAGTTGTCGACTTAGACCCCACCTGATTGCTTCACTGGGAACTCGATCAAATGCTTTTTCAAGGTCTACAAAATGTGTGATAGTTGTTGATGCTTTGCGAGGTACTTCTCTTGCAGTTGCCGAAGGATGTGAATTGCATCAATTGTTGATTTTCCCGCTAGGAAACCAAATCGATAATTTCCGATTGTGATGCACGACGTTAATCTTCTCTCAATGATTTTTTCGACAATTTTCAGGGAGTGTTCTAACAGACGTATACCCCGAACAGTTCAGTGGATCACCTTTGCCTTTGTATAGCGGAACTGTCATGCTATAGTTCCATTCAGTCGGCATTGAGCAATTTCTCCACACTTCACGGCAAAATTGTAGTAACGTTTGGATACCTGCAGTACCAGATGCTTTGATAATGTCATTTGTGAGTTCAGAGGGCCCTGCTGCCTTTCCATTCATCATAGCTTTCAGAGTTTCTGTAAGCTCCTCTACAGTGATGTCTGGAATCGGGCCTTCAATGGGTGGAGCATCAAAATTGACATTGATGGGATTTGTTACATTTAACAGACAGTTGAAGTATTCTCTCCTTTCTAGTTTAATTTCATCGAGTTCAAGAACCATCTCATTTTTGTCGTTTTTGATACATGAGGCACCAACTATGTCTTTTTTCGTACGCTTTGCTTGTTTTGCTATACGATACAGAGATTTCATTTGTTCACCTTTGCTTTTAGTGAGCCACTCTCTGCACTGATCTGTCCGAGCCAGTGCGACTTGACGTCTTGCATAGTTGTTCTTCTCACGGAAAATTTTATGGTCATCAACATACTTTGATTTCAGCCATTGCTTATATGCAGCTTTCTTTTCAGCTATTGCATTTTGTACACTGTCATTTCACCACCAAGTGTCTCGTTTATGTTGACGTTTTGTACCAGTTTTCCCACAAACTGTAGTTGCAACGTTTATCAAAACGGTTTTGTATGTACTCCAATCTCTACTGGCTTGCGTTTGGTGGTCTAACTATGTGGCCAAAATCTGTTGAAATTTTTCTCGATGAATATTGTTTTTCAGCTTCCACGCTTTGATTTTTCAAGGCATTTGTTAGACTTATGTTGTGACAGTTCGACAACCAGGTCTACCACAAGGAGTCTATGTTGGGCGATAAATGATTCGCCAAATATAACTTTGACATTTTTGAATAGCCTTCGGTGTTGTTGCTTGACAGCAAAGAAATCAATTTGCGTGGGTGATGGTCCACTTTTGTATGTTATGAGATGTTCCAACCTCTTTCTAAAATATGTGTTCAGTAAACAAAACCCGTGACTTTCAGCAAACTCAAGGTTTGCCATCTTCATTCCGTTCTTCATAGCCAAAACCGCCATGTACGTTGTCAAAACCATCTGTTTTCTTTCCAACGTGGCCATTGAGATCGCCTCCAATCAGGATTGTTTCAGATTTTGGTATTGTTGAGATGGTGTCAGAGAACGCAGCCCAAGTCATTTTTCATCTCTTCTGATTCGCCTGTCTATGGCAATGGTCTATGGTCTATGGTCTCCTCAGAAAAAATATTCATTGTTTGCTTTTCTAAGCGACGTTTGATCCACATGAAACGTGAATTAATCCCTTTAATATCCAGTACTTCTTGGGCTAGCGGTTCTTTGACAAAAATTCCAACACCATTTTTGGCCGTCTTTTGACCATTCCAGAAAGTTTATATTTTTTATTGTCTGAATTGATGTTACAGACACCATTTAATTTCCATCGGGTTTCCTGAAAGTAGCAGATGTCTTTCCTTCTACGCTCAAGCATTTCTGCGATTTCCATGCTGCAACCAGCCAGTGATCCAACATTAAGCGTTTCAAGTCTAAGTACCAAAGAAGGGCCATTCTGAATTTTTCTGCAACATCCCTCCGCTATTGCATACTTCCCAGGGATTCCTAGCACCCCTTGACTATTTAAGGCCTGCTGGGGACTAGGGGCCGTTGTTTTTCTTTGTGATGGCATAGGAATAATTTGGAAAACGTTTTTACATCCGAACACCCATCCTAACGACAACCACCAGTTTTTAAGCCGTGGGCCTAGCCTTTTGCTCAAAAGCACGCGAGGCAGCGCAGATGCAGTTTTGTCATGCCCAGGACAGAATAATGATAAAAATAATAACAAGATTATTATTATTATTATTAAAATGATAATAATAACGATAATGATAATAATAATAATATTAATAATAATACTACTGGTACTAATCATAAAAATAATAATGATAATAATAATAATCTATTTAATTAAGTTTCGTTAAAAAAATTATTTTTTTAATTTAAATTTGTTTCTTCCAGCTTCTGGTGATTGAACGACAGATTGGCGTTGATTATATGAAAAAAAATGAAAATATCAAATAAAAAAAAATTAATTAATATAATATTTATATGTTTAACTTTTTCGCTTTTTCAACAAATCAAATCATTATTTGAAAATAATATGATAAAAATTGTAATAAATTGTACTGCGTGGTCTAATTTATTGAGGCACTGGAAATAGAAAATGTATTATGCTTTCTTTATGTATTACATAAATAGGTGTGTTTGTATGTAGGTATGTATGTATGTGTATGTATGTATGTGTGTATGTATGTATGTATGTATTATTATTACAAGTCAATTTGTACAGCGCTAATTACAAAAAATCTCAAAAGCGCTCCCTAAAATAAATGAAAAAACCAAATATTAATCAAACGAAGACAAAAACATGGTTAAATCTGCGAAAATAAATGAGTCTTCAGCTCCTTTTTAAATAAAAACAATGATATATCTGGTCTTCTTAGAAACGCCGGTAAACTGTTCCAAACCACCGGTCCAGCAACAGCAATATTGCGTGATCCGGTCTGTGAATTCGTTGTCGGCACAACCAGGAGGTTCATGTCATTTGATCTCAACTGCGAACCCAACCTAGATGTTTTTCTGATGAACATGTCTGCCAAATACTGTGGTGCTAAACCATGTAATAACCGAAACGTTAAGACAGCAATTTTGAAAATTATTCTTTTTTCAATTTTTAGCCAGTGTAGGTCATTCAAGATTGGAGTCACGTGATCGAACTTCAGATTTTTTGTGACAAGTTTTGCAGCTCCATTTTAAATAGACTGAAGTACAGCTATTGACTTGTCAGGTATTTTAAAGTATAAACTGTTACAATAATCTAATCTGGATGTTATAAAAGCATGTACCAGTGTTTCCATGCTAGATTTGTTCAAATAGTGTCGAATCTTGTACAATTTTCTGAAATGCATCATTTTTGCAATTGATAGCGACTTTATTTGATCTTTCATTGAGAGCCTGCTATCCAACCATACCCCCAAATTCAAGGCTGTAGAAGCAAATGATATTTCAACGTCACCAACTTCAACCGAGTTTATATTAAGTCTTGACAACTGCTGCCATGTACCGACAGGAAGCATCTGAGTTTTACCCCGGTTCAACCTCAAGGAATTGCTCAACATCCAACGTTCAATCTCTATCAAACAATCAACAAGTTTATCAATCTCGGGCTGAAATGTCTCTGGATGACCTGTAGCAACTATCTGTATGTCATCTGCATACTCATGACCAACAAGTCCATGCGACATTATTATTTTAATTATATCCGATGTAAAGAGTAGAAACAAAACTGGTCCTAGCACTGATCCCTGAGGAACACCCGTTGTTACCCCCTTGACAGATGATAAGACTTTTCTAAACAAAACCTGCTGAGTTCTATCCGTTAGATATGATTCAAACCAGGCGAGTACCGTTCCTGAAACTCTAAAATTATTCTGCAATTTTACCAGAAGCTTGTTATGATTAACACAGTCAAAAGCGGACGACATGTCGAGAAAGGAGAGTAATGATATCTTCCGATCATCCATGCCTGCAAACATGTTTGACAAGACATGAAGCAATGCAGTTTCTGTTGAGTGGTAGCACCTGTAGGCCGATTGGCTGAGTGGCATTAAATTGTTCGTCGTTAGATAATTCATCAGGAAATCAAGAACAACACTCTCCAAAACCTTTGAAACAAAGGAAAGGTATGATATTGGTCTGTAATTACTCACCTCATTTGCATCTGAGTTAGCTTTTTTCAAAATCGGTTGAATTATCGCGTGCTTACAGCTAGGAGGAAATTTAAAAAAACTCGTCAGAAAGCAGACAAATGAATCCAAGTATTTTTTAAAGATATGCGTAGGGATTATGTCCAAACTGCACGATTTCGTTGGTGATTTAAGTACCGTTTCCCTCATTTGAGTTTCAGTAACCAACGGAAAGCATGAAAACGTGCATTTATTCAACATCGAGACTACTTGAAGCGGAAATTCAGAATGTGCATTTATTGTTTCTTTTATCCTAGCAATTTTATCTTCAAAAAATTGTAAAATCTGATCAGCGTTTAGAGCGTTGTCATCATTAGATGAATCATTTGCCGAACTTTTACCTAACATTTTATTGGCAACATCCCAAAGATTTCTTTGATTTCCGTTACTACTTACGACATCGTTCCAATAAAGTGTACGCTTGTCAGAAAAAAGTCTGTTTTTAGCCATCAATGAGAGTGCCCATCTTTTTTTCCGCCCACTTTCCGGACGGTTCCTATAAATTCTTTCCAACTTCCTACAGAATCGCTTTGCACGTCTACACTCACCATCAAACCAAGGTGCAGCATTTGTCTGCCTACGATAAATCACCCGCATAGGCACTAAATTGTCAGAAATTCGTTGAATTTTACCACTAAACAGAGCAAATTCATTATCCACATCATCAGATTGACATTTGTTTGCCACAGGAGAGTTCGCTAGTGCTTCAACAAAATATTTTTCGTTCAGATCTTTCCACGGTTTGACACATGCTTTCACCAATTTTGGTCGGACTTGATTCAACGCCACTCTCACACTTACGTAACTGTGGTCAGAGTATACCAAACACGGGTCAATCTTAGTATCAAGAATTGGAAAATCCTGTGAACAAATTACTAGGTCTAACGTATCTCTCGACACATGCGCTTGTTGATTAACATGATTGACCAACTGGAACATATCAAGTATCTCATGTAGTCGTAAAGTGAAAGGACTATCCCTCTTTTCAACGTGAATGTCAAAATCACCCATAAGTACGACATGAGCCTCCGACATTGTAATAAACTCCAACATAGAAATCAACTCTTCAAAAAATAATGAAGTCGTCTGTTTCGAGCCAGGTCTGTAGAGGGCAATTAAACAGAACTGATCAATTCCAATCTTCAAGCTGATGGCCAGAGCTTCAAACTTGGAAAATAAAGGGAAATTTATTTTTTTATACTTAAAATCACTTCTAAAATAAATTACCAAACCCCCGTGACCAGGGTCATGCGGCCTGACAAAATCCACAAATGTGAAACCAGGTGGCATAGCTAATCTAACGGAAATATTTCCTTCGGTCCCGTGCCATGTTTCACACAGAATCAGTATGTCGAGACCATCATAAATCATTCCATAGACATCATCAACCTTATTGTTGATAGACGTGACATTCAACAGACCAATCCTAACCATCTTTTTATTAGTATTATATTTCTTGTTTCCAGGTCCGAATCTGCAAAAATTAACATATTGTACCTTTACCAACTGTTCCAAGCAATACTAAGTGCCAACACGTCCATTAATCAAACTTATTGTTTCCTTGCAGGTAAACGTAACACTTTCCATTTTCCGACGTCCCCCCTCACCCGGTATAAAAAACCCTCTTTATCCTCAGATTCCTGTTTCTTCGCACTACTGACAAGCTGTTTCAATTCAGTCCTTTGTTCACTTGTAAGATCGTGGCTCAGACCAATACCCGTCAAATCGTCACCACTGGATTTTAATCTGTGACTGTTTCTTAGGACCAATTCCTTGTTTTTTACATCGTCAAATTTGATCAAAATCGGACAAGTAATGATGTCACTTTTTTTGCCAAGTCGTCAGATTTTGACGATGTTTTTCTGGTCACATGTCTCATTTGTCAAGTGTTTCACTATTTTTTTTATACTGGTCTTATCAGCATCCCCCTCTTTCAATCGGAAAACAATCATGTTCGTTTCTCTCTCCTTTGATTCAACAAAACTGTTTATAGTTTTGCTGACATTCTTTACCTCCAAGTTGATGCTATCAACACTTTTTTTGACCTCCGAACCAACAACACTTGCAAATGTTTTATTCAATTCGCTCTTGAGGTTGTTAATTTCAGTGCAAAGTTTTTTCTCTAAAGTATCCAACAAGGTCTGTTTTGATTCATTTTCAGCTATAATCAACTTAATGGTGTCGATGCCGGCAGTGGTGCTCTTATGCAGATTCTCAATTTTTTTAATAATTTCATTGTTATTTTCCTTTATTTTTTCAAATTTTTTAATAATTTCATCGTGTTTCCTTCCATTTTTTCAATTCTTTTCATGGAGGATTTTGCACACGTATTGCAAAAGTATCTAATATTGATGCAAGTCCTGGTAACTTCGTACATATCATCAGTGAAATTGGCGAGCTTCAATCTGAACGAGTTTTCACACAACGAACAAGTGACATTTTTAGCCATCTTAAATAACGTTTACAATAGTAAATTTCTTAGTTCAATTCGCAAGTCTCGAACAATTAACGCAAACAAATTATATCGTTAAATTCGTCAAAATTTTCTCTATCAAATGAAATTAAATTTAAACTAAATACTAGATTTTAAACTATGAAATTTAGAAAAAATACGGAGCAAATCAAAATGCGGCCGGCACGTGCTACTGATGAGCGGTAATACATGTATGTATGTATGTATGTATGTATGTATGTATGTATGTATGTATGTATGTATGTATGTATGTATGTATGTATGTATGTATGTATGTATGTATGTATGTGTGTATGTGTGTGTATGTGTGTATGTATGTATGTATGTATATATGTATGTATGTATGTATGCATGTATCAAATTTTGTATGTATGCATACATACATACATACATACATTTTGTTTGTATGTATGTATGTATGTATGTAAGAACAATTAACGCAAACAAATTATATCGTTAAATTCGTCAAAATTTTCTCTATCAAATGAAATTAAATTTAAACTAAATACTCGATTTTAAACTATGAAATTAAGAAAAAATACGGAGCAAATCAAAATGCGGCCGGCACGTGCTACTGATGAGCGATAATACATGTATGTGTGTATGTATGTATGTATGTATGTATGTATGTATGTATGTATGTATGTATGTATGTATGTATGTATGTATGTATGTATGTATGTATCTATGTATGTATGTATGTATGTATGTATGTATGTATGTATGTATGTATGTATGTATGTATGTATGTATGTATGTATGTATG